CCAAGTATGCTTTTGGTGGCAGGTATACGAGTGTTAGTCTGTTCCTTAAGTAAGAATGCCCTTTTTGCAACTAAATTGGCCATATCACTTCTGTCGGTTAAGAAATAGCCTGGCTAATCATTTACCAACACCAACTGCGTTGGTGAACTGTGTTCATTTTGTGGCGCATTACTTTGGAGAGCTGGTGTCTCAGTCACCATCCTTTCTGGCAACATTATTGAATTCTTGACCCTTAAGACCAAAAAAAAAAAAAAGTAGCCATCTCTCAGACCAGTGTTTTCAGTTGTGGCACTGCTGTAAATGTTGCCCAAGATTTGGGGATCCTGTCTGTGTCAAGTGGCATTGCTATCTGTGGCACCCCAGCACAGATATTATTGATCTGAGGGTATTTGGTGCCATAACCCCAGGTACAAGTCAGTGAGTATTTATTAAGCCCTTTCTATGTGCCTGGAACTGTGCTAAGTGCAGTGAAAGGCAAATACAGCCTTTGCCTTCCAGGCGCTCACACTTTAATAGAAGAAAACTTGCAAACAAGTACATACATGTAAGACAGATACAGTGTAAAGTGGAGGTAATCTCAGAAAGAAAGGCACTAGCATTGAGGGGAATCAGAAGTAGATTGAAGGTACAAAATTGGCTAATTATAGGTCTGGACTTGCCGTCCTCTTTGATCTGTCACTACAATCCAAGATGTCTCCTACTCACCATCATCCTCTTGGGTCGCCACCAAGTATGCTTTTGGTGGCAGGTATCTGAGTGTTAGAGTGTGTCCCTTATGTAAGAGCATCCTTTTTGCAGTGAAATTGACCATATCACTGCTGTCAGTTAAGAAGTAGCCTAGCTAATCATTTACCAATCACCTGCTTGTGGGAATTCAAAATCCAAATATGAAAACAGCCAGTGGAGTAGTACACACAAAATGGGCTGCTACAACCTCTTGTTGAGGGCTGAAAGTAAAACATTAACAGTCTGCCAATGGTGACTGGTCTTTTTAGGAACTGTATGGGAAATTTTCCATGGACTCCAATAAGCCATGGTCTTGGTCTGCCGCCATCTTGGTCTTTCACTCATATGCTGTTTATATTCTTACAAACTATTAGTTTGAATGAGATGCTGTTACTATTTTGAAAGTGCCTCCATTGATGAGCAGATGGAGAAAAGGTTCCGAAAGTTTCAAGTGAAATTACCTGAGTCAGCTACTGAGGTTGAGAAGCAATGACAACTGTAGGTGGCTCTTAGGATGATTGAAGAGGGAGAGACGGAAAGAAGGGAACAAACATTTATTAAGCACCTACTATGTATAAGGCACTGTGCTAAGTGCTTTACAAATATGATCTCACAAAAATTCTGGGAAGTACATGCTATTATTAACCCTATTTTATAGTTGGAGAAACTGAGGCAGACAGACTTGCCCAACATCACATAGCTAGTGTCTGATACTGGATTTGAACTTGGGCCTTCCTGACTTTGGGTCCAGCGCTCTATCCACTGAGCCACCTAGATGATTGGGACCCACACTTGGAAACTTAGCTTTTCAGAGATAATTTTGAGTGCTTGAGTATGTGGGAAACACTAATTAGAGGTGAACTCTGAGATTGGCCTGGTTTTTGATGCAAGTGTCACATGCTTGGTGAAGACCACTTGATCTTGGCACAGGCAGCTACAGACATCATTGATCTGAATCTTCTGCACTGACTATGGAAGGAAGATAAGATCCTTATTCTTTCTTATTATTCAAAAATCTTTAATGTTGTTATGATACACTGTGTTCCTAATTTAAAGATTCTGGGAGCAGGAAGGCATGCTGATAAAAAATTCAGAAAGAACACAAAGGGCGGGAGGGAGAGAAGGTGTGCCAATAGTTCATAGATAATAAACTCTCTAAGGACAAAGGCTATGTTTTATTAATCTTTGTACCTCCCTCAGTGCCTGTCGTAGTATATTGAGCACAGTAGTCAGGCGATTAATAAATGTTTATTGCATGAATGAATGAGCTGCTGACCTGGCTGACTAGCATTTTTAGTATTTCAAATGCCTGTAGACTTCAAAGGGGAGTCCAGCCAAGGACTACAGATGGGCCAATGATCTATCAAAATGGCGTTCTGTGGTCATGGATTCATCTAGTCAGAATCTATGATCAGCCTCATCTCGTTCAACCTGTTGAGGAACCTCTGGTATAATCCTTACCTCAGTTTTGCAGGGGGTTTTTTTATATTTCATTTTAAAAGGCAAATGGTGAAATGTCAGAGTGACTGGTAATATAAAAATAGTATCAGTAGTACTAAGGTTTAGAATGATCTGAGGGCAGCAAAAAGGGCAGCTGGCTCCAAAAGCAGAATGAAGATCAAGGGTTGGAAATTCCAGAGAAGTAGAGGTCTTCATAGGTGCATTCATAGGATCCTAGATTGACAGAGAAGGAAACTGAGGCACAGGGTAGTAAGTGGCAGAGATAGGATTTGACTCCTATTCCAGTGCTCACTCCTCTGTATTGTATATTTCTTAGGAATATTGTAAGAAGGATTGTTGGTGTGATACTGCTGAGAGTAGATATTCTCTGACATCTCTTCCCATTTCTGAAATTCTTCAATACAAATCTAAACAGTTAGTCCAGAGTAATTCAAAGCCATGGCCATAGTTTTTAAAGAAAATAACCCGGGGCAGCTAGGTGGCACAGTGGATAGAGCACTGGCCCTGAAGTCAGGAGGATCTGAGTTCAAATCCAGCCTCAGACCAAACACTTGACACTTACTAGCTGTGTGACCCCGGACAAGTCACTTAACCCCAATTGCCTAAAAATTTAAAAAAAGAAAAGAAAAATTAAGAAAAAGAAAATAACCTACCTCCCCTCCCAAATCTCATCCCACGTCTATTTGGAACACTTGTACATAGATCTGTCTTCCTCATGAAGATAGCTTAGTGTGGTAGAGTGCTGGACTTTGAGTCAAAAAGATCTGAGTTTGAATTCTGGCTTATGGGGATCAAATCAGAAAACATGCCAAGTTCTTTGTAACCTTAAAGTGCCTTAAAGTAATTAATGTTAGCTATTTTTATTATTATCATCATCACCAAAAATAGAATAAGGGTAGTGTCGCTTTGAGAATGACTGCCTGACCCTCCTAATCAATGTAAGGAAGCACAGGAAAGCACCTCGGCCATTACCAGATGGTACTAGACTAGTTGTTTAGTTGTTTTTTAGTCATGTCGGATTCTCCACAACCCCATTTGGGGTTTTCTTGGCAAAGACACTGGAGTAGTTTGCCATTTCCTTCTCCAGCTCATTTTACAGATGAGGAAACTGAAGCAAACAAGGTTAAATGACTTGCCCAGAGTCACACAGTTATTAAGTGTCTGAGGCCAGATCTGAACTCAGGAATATGAGTCTTCCAGGCACGGCACTACCCACTGCACTACCTGGACTAGTTGACCTCCTACTTAATCTTTCTTTTTTCTTCCAGTTCTGTGTACCGGAGGCTTCTTGCTGACTAGAGAAAGATTGACTATACTTTTTGGAGTAGATCAGGTAGAAAGGGAACTGATTCATTCTCTTTCACCCTAATATTCTATCCACAACAACCTTCCCTACCCATGAGCCATTGTTTAGTGTTATTACTTAACACTTTCCTCTCCATCAGGCTACCTTTTTATTTAAATTTTTTCAGTTAATAGTAATTTGTTTTCTCTCTTTCTTATCTCCCCTCAATTGAAAAAAAAGAAAAGAAAAGAAAAAAAACCCTTTTAATAAATATGAATAGTCAAGCGAAACACATTCCCACATTGGCCTTGTCCAGAAATGTATGTCTTACTCCAGAGGTGTCAAATTCACAGCTTGTGGGTTACCAAAAAACTCCAAAGTTTGTCTAAACCAGATTAAAGTGTAATAAGAATAGATATTTATCAAAATAAATGAAAAGACAATTTGTAGTTTTTGAAGTCCACATGTGGTGCAGGCATCTGTTTCTTTTTGAGTTTGACACTACTGTTATTCTACATCTTTAAGATATCTTCCAAAATTAAGAAATCATCAGGCTTTGTATTATTAACTGTATTCTACAGTGAGCACTTGTGTGTTCATCTTGTGGAATATTACTTTGGAGTGCTGGTATCCCAGTCACCATCTCTTGGGCCTAAATTATTGAATTCATGGCCATTAAGGCCAAAAGAAATTAAAAAAGTTGAAAATGAGCCATCTCTCTAACCAATGTTTTCTGTTGTGTTGCTGCCACAAATTGTGCCCAAGATTTGGGAATCGTGTATCAGGTGTCATTGCCACCTGTGGCACCTTGGCACAGAAATCCTAACTGGTATGGTTTTTTTTTCACCATTGCATCCGTGTGATCCAAAATGGCGCCATCACAATGAAGGTGAAAGTAATATAATTAGTGGTTTGTCCTCAGTCCAAAAAAACCTCTGATATCCACTGGTAAAATGCTCTTTGTGAGGTCCTGCTGCTATTTCTCATGATATTTAAGAATTTTGTCCAAGTTCAGATTTGGGAATTTTCCATTTCTAACCATTTTTGACAGGGTATTCATGCTTATTAACCTTTGGTCCTGGCTTTGTAACTCCTAGGCTCCTAGCTTAGGATTTACAGCAATTAGTTTATTAACTGAGACCAGTTAATGTCTCATACTCTGCTTTTTTAAATTTTGTGGTTGTGGTTGTGGTCGTCATAAGTTTGTGGTATTAAGGAGAATGTCCTTGTATAAATATCTCTGTGCCTCTCCCATGAGAAGCTTGGAGTTAATTTGGAATGCAGTTTGATAAAGGAATCTGGTATTTAATAATTGCCAATTGGCAGAATAGAGCAATTGGCAAGAATAATCATGACTGAAACTTCAGTGATTTGCACATGGCAAAGAGAGGAATTTCCTCTTTGCAGTATGTGTATGTTTATATATCTATGTGTCTATGTGTGTATGCAGGTAGGAGGAGTGAAAGAAAGGGAATTATTCCCCTGCTGAAAACAAACTGCTGAATTCTGTCCTTTCTTCCCTTTCTAGAAAGAAGACACAGTTCCATGTGTAAACCTTCTCCCTCTCCAGCATCGCCACCTTCCAATTCCAGGACATCACTGTTACAAGTGAAAGCAAAATCCTGTATCAGCGGCCATAACCCTGTCAGCAGCAACGCAAAGCCATTCAAAACGCCCAAAGACAATCTACTTACCTCCAGTAGCAAACAGCACACAGTCTTTTCTTCGAAAGCATCAAGGGATAAACCATGGTGAGTCATTGGGTGCTGGAAACACCGAGCTCTTTGCTTGCCTTTTCACCCTTATTCCTTGTTGCCCTCACACTGAAACATGTTGCTTACTTTTTGGTTAGGCATCATGTTCCCAGATTTAGGAAAATGAAGAGAAAAGAAGGAAAATCAGAATGATGGCCCAGAATTAAAAGTCTTATTTACTTGATGTGGGAAATTTTTTTCTCCCCTCACTGGAAAGGGTAAATGATGCCCATATAAAGCAAGCCAGAAAATATTCTTTAATTATATGGCCAACTTATGATTTCTCATGCTAAATAATAGTATTAAAAATTCCGTATGAAAAGCAGAGGGGCATAGTGGGTAGGGAGCTGACCTGGGAACCAGGAAGATCTGGGTTCAAATCTTAGCTCTGTCATAGACTGGCTGTGTGACTCCGGGGATGTCCCTTAACCTCAAAGTGCTCCAGGAGTTCTCTGAAATGATTACTTTCAGAAAAAGTGCTTATCTGCACTGGGAGGAGGAGTTTCCTCATCTGGGAAGAAACCAATACCAATGAAATCCCAGGTCAGGTCCCTGGGCCTAGCCCAAAAACTCCACAAGCAATCTTCCCCAATGAGAAAAAGGGAACCCCATTACAGAGATTAAGTACTGACGCACTGGGCTATAGGAACCACTCTCATGATGGAGGCGCCTCCTCTACTGAGAGAAACTGAGTCTGGGTCTCTGCTTTGTAGTGAACCTTTCTCTGGCATGAACTATGGGATCACATCTCTGAGGGATACTCACGATACAGACCCAAAAAAAAAAAAAATTGGTGTGTAAGCCAAAGATGACCAAGGAAAATGTCACTTCTTTGAAAGAAAGTGAATTACAAATGCCTGTGAAAATGTAGAGGATGGTGTAATTTTTTTACCTCTGTCTTTACGAAAAATATTTTACTCAGAGTGGTTAACTAGAGCAGGTTCCCTCTGTGATGGGCAAGTAGAAAGAGCCCACTAGAACAAAAAAGGAAATGTTTGAAGAGTATCTTCAAAAGGTATTCCCTATTTCCATGGACATGATGATATGCATTCTAAGATGCTTAGGGAACTAGGAGAGATTATTACAGAAGCCTTAAGCCTTAACTTCGGGACTTTGTGAAAGTAGTACGAGAAGGCAAAATACAATGCCTAATTTTTTGGTGGGGAGCAGCACAGTTTAGGTAAAAATGACCTCGATCATTATGAACCATTAGGCTGAATGTCATTCGTGGAAAGATAGTGAAATAAATCATTTGTCAATCGATTTGTAACCACAGAATTTTGATAGTAAGTAATTTGAATGCTTTAGTGAAGGGCTAATTATTTTCAGATCAATGGAATTTCTTTCCGTGATAGAAACACAGGCTGTATAGACAATGGAAAGTTAATAAATGTCCTACATCTGCCCTTTACAGTAAGGCTTTGGTTCTTTCCCCATACTGTCCTCATTCACAAGCAGGGAAGACACAGGCCTCTGGTTCATCCTTTAGTTCACAGGACACACAACCCACTGAGTGGGACCCACTCAAAAAGTGGCTGTCCTTGGGCCCAACCACCACATACATGTAGGGATGAGTCCTGTAGTTATTATCATCTATTGTCTTTATCACTGACCTGGAGGAAGGAATGGAAAGAAATGCTCATTATATTTGGCTAGAGTCAGCACTGCTGATGCCCTGGATGATAGGACATTAGAGAAATGGACCTTCAAGAACAGAGTGAAGTTTAATATAGGGACAAACATAGGGCACCATGTTTTAAATCCACAAATGATGAGATAAGGCTGGCTGGGTGAATGTAAAGAGTTGAAGGAATTCAGGTGATCACAAGTCAAATGAACTGACAGTGTAATCATGTTACTAAAATGTTAACATAGTAGCAAAACACAGTAATAGAAGTGTGGGACATGAAAAACAAAGAAGGAATCCTTCCCATGTATTAGCTGTTAGTCTAACTTATTATTTCCAATTTTCAGTCTCCATTTTTTTTTGTTGGTGAGGTAGTCAGGGTTAAGTGACTTACCCAAGGTCACACAGCTAGTGTCAAGTGTCTGAGGCCGGATTTGAACTCAGGCCCTTCTGACTCCAAGGCCAAAGCTTTATCCACTGCACCACATAGCTGCCCCTCCACTTTTTTTTTTAAAAGATCTATAAAAATTGGAGACATTCACTTGAATTCTACAAATATTTGTGAGCACCTACTGAGGGCAAGCCCAGAAAGTGGTGACAAGAATTTTCAAAAGGGTGGAAAAGAGATGCTTCGAGGAAACAGTTAAGAGAACTGGGTTTCTTAATAATAATAATAATAGTAACTGGTATTTAGGTAGTGCCTGGTAGTGCCTTAAGGTTTTAAGGAGCTTCACATATATCATCGCATTTGATACCTACAAAAATTCTACAAACAAATTTCTGAAGGTATTATTGTCCCCATTTTACAAATGAGAGAACTGAGATATGGAACAGTAGTAAACGACTTGCCCAAGGCCTCACAGCCAGTAATTGTCAGAGGCAGGATTCAAACCAAATTTTCCCTCACCTCCAAGGTCACCTCTCTTTCCATCCAACTCTGCTGCTCTTAGACTTAACATAAGGAAGAGAAGGGGAATGAATAGGTGCAAGTTTGTTATGAGGACATTGCTGACCTGATGACCTTCCTCCCCACAAAGGATAGACCCAAGAGCAAGTGATGCAAGAGAGAAATTGTTTAAAAATAAGGATGGACTTTTTGACTTAAAAGAGTGATTAAATATTGGAAAAGGCTAGCAAATATTTAAGATTCTATGTTACTGGAGATAGGCAAGCACTCGTTTTTGCTGGTTTAGCCAGTCAAGGCTGATCCAGGTAAACCCATGACATCCCTTCTAACGCTTTGATTCTGTAATTTCACTTTAGTTCACTGAGCTACTGATCGAGGGAAAGCCTGTAAAATTAATATTCTCTAGCACGAAGTTGCATTCCTCAGTAGTTGCAAAAATACTGTTCCATGGTTATGCTTAAGGAGATCTAACCAGGACTGGCAGTGAATGAGAAGCATGTAGGATTCTCCCCTCTCCTTCACAAGCAGTTTCATCAGCCTGATATCTCAGCATCAGAAGAATGGTGTATACATAAGAACAGTAGATAGAGCAATTAATAAAAACCCTTTTTAGACCACAGGATTATAAAATCTAATTTAGATATTCCAAGTGGAGAATTACATCAGCTTTCTGAAAGCCGTGACAGAATAAACACTGCCTGAGAGTGGGTGTCCATGACCTTAACCAACTACAGCCGGAGGTAAAGGACAGACTTTCTCAAAGAAAGTGGTTTTTTTATTATGCTAAATTCAAGTTGACCCCCCCCCCCAGAATTTTTTTCCATGAGCTTAAATAGTCTGTATAATTTTATTTTGGGCTTAATAGGTTAAAAAATCCTTACCCTTTGATGCTTTAATGAATCCACCAAGGCAGAATTCAGCTTTTTCATACCTCGTACTATATGATTCTTTCTCATAGTTTTCTTTAAATCCTCTTTAGAGAATCAGTCAGTAAGCATTTATTAAGCATCTTCTATGTACAGGACACAGTTTTAAGCATGGGGGATACAAAAAAAGGCAGGTATCCTTTGAATGGATATCCAATGCTGTGTAGGCCTTCCTATGGATCTTTTATTACCACTTATGATTGTCTCATTCTTAAACATAAACTGGCCCACCTTCTTTTCCGTCAAACATATCTTTAGCAATGCCTTTTATACCACTTTTCACTCATTGGTGGTAACACGTTAAAACTTACATATACCATATGTTTTTCTACTGCCCTTCAGGTCACTTGTAAGTTTGATTTCTTCTGAGATTGTGCTATCCCATGATTCCTAGCTATATATCAGTGTTCAAATGGATCTGTGATCCTATTTGGAAATTCCTTCCATCAATGCAAATTGCAACCCCTCTATGCCTGCCATCCTAGGTGATTCTTGTCCATGTCTTCCGTAAGTATATCATGTTGGTCTGCGCAACATGCTGGAGGCCTATTTCACTTTCTCTTAACATTACAAGGGTGCTAGTGGAGCACTCTGGCTACCCATGTATCATCTCTTGCCCTCACCATGACCATCTTCTTTTCATATCATACAATTTCATACAATTTCTTAATGATGTCTTTTCTCTTATTCTTCAGAATTTTTCATGGATTATACTCACACCCATCTTTGCCTCTATGGAATATTCATTTTTAATTTTTTAAATAATCTTATATTCTACATATGGAAACAGCAAGAGAATGTTTTGTCAGTCAATTAACAAGCATTAAAATGTGGTCCTTTGCTTTCATGGGATCCTCAGAATCATTATAAAGGAACTTTGAAATTTCTCAAAGGCAATCCATCATGGTCTCCTCTCATTCAGCTCCAGCCCCAGCTTGTCTGTTTGTACTGTCTATTCCAAATATATTTTTAGAGAGAGATAATAGATATATATGTATATGTATATATAGATATATGGAGAAATAGATTAAAATGGAGAATCTCTATAGTGTTATCCATACAGATACACATCATAATCTGGGCAAGAGATGGATAGACAGGCCAAACTACCTTGAGTCATTATACCTCTCTTCCAGGGAACTCTGCAGTATTCTCGAGCTTGAAGCAATCAGCACAATGCCATCTGCAATCAGGAGCATCTAAGGGGACTTCCCCATCTATGGGGAATCCTTGTTCAACTTGAATTCTCTTTTAGATCTCATCAGATGTCTTTGGTGACCATTTGTGATTCAGTTGTATCTGACTCTTTGTGACCCCATTTGGGGTTTTCTTGGCAAAGATACTGGAGTGGTTTGCCATTTCCTTCTCTAGCTCATTTTACAGATGAGGAAATGGAAGCAGACAGGGTTAAGTGACTTGCTCAGGGTCGAACGGTAAGTAATTGTCTGAGACTGGATTTGAGCTGAGGTCTTCCTGACTTCAGGCCAGGTCCTCTTATCCACTGTGCCACTCGCTGCCCTTGGTGATCATTCATAAC